TTATCCAGGAATTTCAAAATTAATCTCACAACTATCTGGTTATCTGCGTTCTCATAAGGGGGAAGTGCAGTGTTATGAAATTGATGAAACTAGAGGGGAAACTGAAACTTGGAAAATTTATTCTATCCTGTTTGGAAGCAAAGTGTCTCCAAGAATCTGCCCTTTGAGCTTGCATCCATGAATGTGTTAGGAAAGCACAGAACCACAGTTCCCACCTGTAACTGGAGATGCAAGAATCTTGCACCTAAGCTGGTGCTAGAATTGCAGACCTTGCTTTTGGAGGCAGTGTGGTGATTTGTGGTAGGATGTCTAATTAGCAGTGGTCTCTGAATCTTGGGAGTCTATCCAGTCAGTTCATGCAGACGGTGGCTCATTCAATCAGCTGCTATTAAAAAAGCAACAATCGATTTAATCAATGGCTAACTGATTAACTGTGGATGCAGTCTGTAGCTAATGTGGTGAGTGGAGCTAATCAGTGGTTGGTCTTGTCAGTGGCTGATACTGATGGATCTGATCAGATGTTGATGTACTTGGCAACTAATTTAATTTAGTGGATGATCCAGTTCACTTTTTATACCCAGGGTCACTGAAACCTGGGTATCTTAGGTTTCTACTGCAGTGATTAAACACCATGATCAAAAGCAATTTGGGGAAGAAAGTGTTTATTTCAGCTTACAGTTCCATATCACAGTTCATCTTTGAGGGAAGTCAGGACACAAACCTGATGCAAAGGCAATGGTGGATTGCTGTAATTGGCTTGTTCCCCTTGGCTTGCTCATTCTACTTATGGTACTCAGGGATGGTATCACTGACAATGATCTGAGCTCCCCCCCAATAAATCACTAATTAAGAAAATGTACAACAGACTTGCCTATAGGCTAATCTTATGGAGACATTTTCTCACTTGAGAGTCCCTCTTCCCAAATTACCATAGTGGCATCAAATTGACACATAACTAGCTAGCACAGTGGAAAAACTTTCTCTCAAATATCTTTGTGTAACTTAATTTTCTGTTCTACAAGGGAAGGTTTGTATCTGTCTGGTTAAAGTATCTATAAAAAGAGAGACAGTCCTTAAGGCATCCTTGGAGGAACAGGCAACATAATTATAAAATCTGCTTTTCAACCCCTCTAGGCAGCATGCGCTAGCTTGTATTGTCCTTTTGAATGGTAACAGGTAACCTCACTTGAATCTATAAATGGTTCTAGCAGTTTACCTATGATCTTTAAAGCAAAGGCCTTTGTTGCTCCAAAGAGCTAGTTGTACATGTCTGTTACATAATGAGTTGAACTTAATTGCTCAGGCTACCTTTTTGAAAAGTCAGATTTCTTTCTGTCTGTACCCCTGAGACAGGAGATGGTTGAAAGCCTGCCTCCCTCCTCCCTGCTTTTTATTTTTAGAAACATTCTTATTTACATATCCATCCCCCCATTCCCTCCCATGCTTCTCACCGACCCCCCCCAACCCACTCACCACCCACTCCCTAGGAATAGTGAGACCCTTCATGGGGGATCATCAAAGTTCATCATATGATTTGTGGGAGGGCCCAGGCCCTCCTTTCCGTATCTGGGCTGCAATGGTATCCCTCCATTGGGAATGGGCTCCCAAAGTGCATTTGTGACCTAGGAATAAACCCTGGCTCCACTGTTAGAGGTCCCATAGACTGCCTTGGCCTTCTAGCTGGTACCCACATTCACAGGGCTTGGTTTGGTCAAATGCTGTTTCCCCCACTTTATGACTATGGTCTGTGTACTCTCATTAGTTTAGGTCAACTGTTTCTGTGTGTATTTTCAGTTCTGTCTTGGTTCATTTGCTCATCTCTCCTCTCTCTCCGTAGCTGGATTCTGGGAGTATGGCTCAGTGCTGAGCTGTGGGTGCCTGTTTCTGCTTTCATCAGCTACTGGGTCAAGGCTCTGAAGCGGAGCATGGCGCGTGTAGCTCCTTGCTCCTTTTTTCTTCTGTTGAGTTTTCTATGGAGTAGGAGAGAGCAAGTTTGTAGAGAGACAGAGGTGGCATGAGGTTGAAACCTCACCTCTAGTATGTTTTGTGTATTTCCTCTTTTGATTAATCAACCTCTGTGCAACTACTTCTCATTCTTCTGTTAGTCTGTCTGTCTTTCACTCAGTACTTGAATTTTGATTCTTCATTTTGGTTATCATTCGGTGGGCATGCTCTTCTCATCCCATTTGGACTTTCATTGATTACTACCTTTCAACTTGGATACTGCCCCACTATGTACCTGTTCTCAACTATTCTGCATGTAAATGTCTTCCACCATCTTGCCCAGGCTGTGACATCTCATGTTAGGATCCCCTCTATTTAGCCATCCTAGTTCTGTTCAGAATCTGACTCCAGATGTCAGGCTAGGCTACCTCATCTAGACATCATTACCCTGATTCTTGAATCTTAAGTCAACCTGCCCTCGTACATCCTGTGTAGATTTGTTTCCCAACCTGTCTAGACCATGGCACTGTAAGATCCTGTTTGGAATTTTATTTCCCAAGCCATCCTGTATGTAAAGAACTTTCCTTATTGTATTGTAATCTACCATCCTGTATCACCCCCCTCTTTCCTGTCTCATAAAGACACTTAATCCATTTCTAAACTTGATCTTAGCCAAAGGCTTAGAAATGATCAACCCGTTTCTTGTAGACACTGACATCGAATAATCAGGCTGGCCCAGCGTCTGTGGAAGCTCCTCTTCTCAGTCAGGTTCTGTTGATGCATGAGGACCACATCTCCATGAAGGTTCTCCTCTGGCCTTGCTTGGCTTCTTCTATCCTGTACTAGATTTCTCCTTTACACAGCATCCTCCTCACCCTAAGGTGCTCTTGGCACTTTGTTGTTGGTATCTATTACCCCACATTTTGCTAGTGGTCACCTTGTTCTTGATTACTCAGTGACCTCTTCTGATCACCCAATGACCCTAATAAAGGAAAGGAAAAGCAAAGGCTAAGGGAAAGGAGGGGAAGAGGAGGCTGTTTTTTGTTTGTATATTCCTGGTATATCTTTTCCCATTCTTTCACTTTATTCCTACCAGTGGCCTTATAATAAAGTGTATCACTGTCCACCAAGCATGATGTCACTCATCTATAATCCCAGCATAAGGAATCAGCAAGAGTTTAAGGAGTTCAAGGCCAGGCTCAGTAAGATACATAAATTTGGAGCAGAAGAAAGAAAGCATGTCATTTCTGAGTGGCATGTAGTTAAATGTTAAATATCTGCTAATCCTTATCTTTTAATTGGTGTTTGGTTCATTCTGACTTTATATAGTTGATGTAGTTTATTACTGTTTGTTTTTCTTATCTGTCTTTTAGTCATTTTTCTTACATATTTTCTCCTCTGCTGGCATTCTGTTATATTCCTTTCCTGTTCTTGGTTACTCTGAAAATTATATTTCCTGGGGTTGGGGAGATGGCTCAGCAATTAGGGCAGTGGATGTTTTTCCAAAGAAGCCAGATTTAATTCCTAGCACCTGTGTAGCAGCTCAAACCCATCTGTAACTCCAGTCCCAGGGACTCTGAGGTCGTCTTCTGTCTTCCATAGGCACTGCATTCATGTGGGACACACACATACATGCAGGCAGAACACCCAAATCACAAATGAAATGTTTCCTTGACTTTATAGTTCCTTAGTTTAGTTAGTGCTCTTCATTTTACACACCTACCCTTTTGTTTGTGCTTTTGTTGTTTTATATATATATATTTATATATATATATATATATATATATATATATCTGTTGCACATGTTTAAAACTTCACCAGACGTTTACTGTTTTGAATGAATAGCAGTTTTCTTTTATGTGTTTGTGTATTACATATAATATAAAACAATATGTAACTATATATGTAGTCAATATATGTCTTTATGTGCATATATATAATTATACAATTCTTTAAATACTCTTCATTTCTACCATTCTGAATTGTGTTGGATTATTTTACTTTAACTTAAAAAAGATTTTTTTTGTAGGCCTGGTGGTGGTGGCCCATACCTTTAGTCTCACCTGGGAGGCAGAGGCAGGCAGATTTCTGTGAGTTCAAGGCCAGCCAGGTCTACAAAGTGAGTGCCAGGACAGCCAGGGCTATTATACAGAGCAACCCTGTTTCAAAAAAACAAAACAAAACAACAACAAAAACAAACAAAAAAAGATTTTCTAAGGTTGTGTTTCATTTTCTTATTTTTCATTTTGTGAATATTTGTTGGTACATATTTTCCTTTCTGTGTGTGTGATCGAGTGTTGCTTTGTAGCCCAGGCTGGCCTCTAACTGGCAATCCTCCAGTCTTTGCTTCTTCGGTGCTGGGATTAAAAGAGTTTGTTGTGACATGTCCCTAATTTGCCTAGTTTTTATAGTTGGGTTTAAAATATTTCAGTTGATTATAGAATTAAATTTGTTTTTTAGCATCTTCTTTGACTTAAGTATTTAACCCATAATTGTTAACCTAAATATTTATCTTACCAGAGAAAAGGATCCGGACCTCTTACTCCTCTGGCGGCCTACATCGTGTCTGCCTGTGCCTCTCTTTCCCAGAATCCTCCTTGACTCCTAGTCCCACCTGTCTTGCTTCCCTATTGGCCAACAGTGCTTTATTCAAACCAATCAGACATATTTACAGAATGACATCTCCCAACACATACCCATTTGGTTCCACCATTGAAATATAAACCCTTTGTGGCTTTGTTTCATGTTTATGTTTGTGTCACTGGGAATTTAGTATAGTTTTATAGTAATTGTCAAATTAAATACAAATAAATGAATGTCTATTAATTTCAACTAGAAAGTATGTTTCGTCAGTTAAATTACATAATGGTAATATAAGTTAAAATTAAAGGTAAATTTTGGAATAAATGATAAGAAACATGCTTGGTCACTTTTAGTGAGAGATACTGTAGAAATGGGTTATTAACATGTGAGATCACTATATTTACAATTGCCTAGTTACTTAAATATTTCTTGCCAAAGATATGAACTGTTTTGTCTTTTTCCCTCCCCATTAGTTCACGAGAACAAAATAAGGCTCCCTTTCCTACATCCTCTGCAAAACTATCATCTGATGCAATCACTCAGATAACAACAGAAAGTCCAGGAAAGACCACATTTTCGTCTGAAATTTTTATTAATGTTGATGATCATGGACAGGAAGTTCTTGGCCCCATGGCCCAAAAGCCACCCAAGCTTGCCTCATTATCCTCAATGCAGCAAATCACATCTTCTAATGGCAAAGACGGTAGGGAATGTAATGGAGTTTTACATCATTAACCCATTTTATGTATAATTAATTATCTCTGAAATGGTACTGTTTTTCTCAATTTTGTTTGTTTTTTGAGACAGGGTTTCTTTGTAGCTTTGGACCTATCCTAGAACTTGCTATGTAGATCAGGCTGGCCTTGAACTTGCAGAGATCCACCTGCCTCTGCCTCCCAAGTGCTGGAATTAAATGCATGTGCCACCACTGCCTGGCCCGTGAAACCTAAATTTAACGTAAACATTATGCTACAAAAATACTATATCCAGTTTTTTCATCTTTGTTTTGAAGGAGTTAACAAGAGTATATTGTAATTCATGCTGCTTATGGCTGACTTATGTCCTGTGAGTTTTGTAAAAATACAGTAGTATATAAAAACTTTTTAAGGCGGGCAGATGAATAATTGGCATTTAGCTTATAGTAATGTGACATCTGAGTCTTTAATAGTGCACAGAAATGGTTTATTTCTTACTTATGAAACAATCACTTGTTACTCAGGTTGATTCTGTATGGAAATGTAAACATATGTGCACACATGCACATGTACCTCCACACATGTAAATGAACACACATATACACACATGAAAAGAAAAAAAATCCATGGATACTAGTGGATATAGCTCAATTATAGTGTGTATGCATCCTTAACATGCACCAGGTTCTAGACCAGTCTGTAGTACTGCCAAATATATATAAATTCACACATACTCTCACACACAGGTATGCATTATTTTCAGCAGTTTAACAAAAATTTGCCTTTGCATCTCAGGCTTGTAAGCCAGTTGGAGTTTGGCACAAATTGGCTCCAGGTAGCAAAAGTAGTTTAGGTACGCCTCCAAGTGCCTGTTTCTGAGATTCTGGCCATGGGGCAATTGCTGTCTTACCTGGAATATATTGCTTTTATGATGGTGGCAGAAACACAAGAAGAGAGACCCAACTGTGAGTTTTATTATTATAAAACAAGAACTGAATTTTAACTTTTTACTTTTTTTATCATAATGATGGTGTAAGTAGAAGAAAAACATGGCTAGAATCTACATTAAACTGATGGTCTTTTAATAGTCAGACCTTGTCTTTTTTACTTTGGTGTATTTTCTTAATATTCAAAATCATATTTTATAATAGAAGCTTTATTTTGAAACTGCTTAATGAGAAGTGAAGTAGACTTATCTCTTAATTCTCTAGGAGTAGAGTAAGTAGGCACTTGGGTTTAGTATAAGATAAACTGCTTTATAGTTAGAGTCATCTACTTATGGAATAGATTGCTGAGAATGCACCTCTCATTGCATTCTCATTGGTGAGAATGTCACACCACCTGTAATTTATTAAAATACCAGATAATTTGATTATATAGTTTAATTAAATGTGCTGTGTATTTCCCATGTTGAAAGTAAAGGTTAATTTATGTTTAGTTCATTCATGTATTGCAAGAATGGTGAGCACTGCCTAGCAGGTGGAAGGTACTTGTTATGTGTGAGAGTCACTGCTGCTTTTTTCCTAACGGTTCTGATCTTTACCTCCTCAGCCCAACCAGTGCTGTTGCCATATAAGCCATCTGGTAGTTCGAAGATGTACTATGTTCCACAATTAAAAACAGTTCCTTCAGATTTGGATTCCAAATCAGATACCACTGTTGAGAGCTCACATTCAGGTATTATGCAAAAAATTCTAATATTTTATTTTTAGAAATATTGTATATAGACTGTTTGATTGTGATATCTTTTTTCTTTTATTTTCTTTCTTTCTTTTTTTTTTTCGGTTTTTGGAGACAGGGTTTCTCTGTGGCTTAGGAGGCTGTCCTATCACTAGCACTTGTAGACCAAGTTGGTCTCGAACTCACAGAGCTCTGCCTACCTCTGCATCCCAAGTGCTGGGATTAAAGGCATGCGTGACCACTGCCCGGCTTGATTGTGATATCTTATAGTGAAATATGGAGGTTTTCTTGCTTTAACCTCTGGTTGATTCATAATAAGAGTTATTTGAGATTTTGCATAAGAAAAAAAGAGAAGGCTAAAATTTAGTTGACAGCTGCCTGGGTTAAAGCCCCTATAGATAAAGCACAGAGCCCAAAGACATGAAGAATTTACTGGTTTCAGTTGTTTAAGTCTTCATGCAGGCACTAGCCCACAACCATCCAAATTGTGTAGTAGTGTAGTCTTTACAGTCTTGATTCAAAAGTTACTAAACAACATAAAACAGTAGCAAATCCTGAGATGGGAGTAGAATCTGACTTTAACAGTTACTATATTGTATTATTTAAATTTCTAAGTTTGCAACAAAAATATTAAGGAAAAACATAAGATGTAGTTTGTTCTATACAAAGGAAAAAAGTTCTTGAGGAATCCTAGACATTGGACTTACTAGACAAATACTTAACTATTTAAAATATGTTCAGTGATCTAAATGAAACAACTTTTGAAGAACTAAGGCCTTACCAAATAGAGAATGTTATAAAGGTACAGAAATTATAAGAAGGGGCCATTTTATGATTTTTGGAGTTGAAAAAACACAGTAGGAGCTCAACAGAAGATGACCAGGCAGAAGAAACCGTGAACCTAAAGATAGGTCCATTGAGATGACTTAGTGAGAGGAACAGACAAAAGAGAAAAAGAAAGAAATATCAGAGTTCTGTGGGACACTGTTAACTGCCACAATGGAGGGAGCAAAAGTGCAGGATGTGCCTTCTCAGTGACAAATTGTTCTGTACCCTCAGAGATGAAGGAAAAGCTTTTTACTAATGTGCCTGGATGACTGGGGCTAAGATCCAAACAAGAGTTGGCTTTGAACAGAAGATTTTACTAACTTAGGTACACTTCAGGCTTATTCTATAAACCACCATGCTTAACTCTCTTTTGAGTTCCTGCCCTAGGTTACGCTTCCAACAGTTTGAACACTTTGAACAGAGTTAACAGAGTCTGGCCGTCGAGGCATATAGGTTTACACAGCTAAGTTATTACACGTTTCCAGATTATTTTAAGTACATTGGTGTTCTTTTTTGAATACTTGTTGCCCAGGGTCATCTTGCCCACCGGGCAAAATTATGTCTTTCTTGATAAGCACAGGGTACTTCATGGAAGACCTAGACTTAATGATGGTTGTGACCCTACACTTCCTCCCCTTGAGCTTCCCTTTAAAGCAGTGGTTCTCTTTAGAGAACCTTTAATACAGTTCCTCATGTGGTGACCCCCCTCCATAAGATCATTTCATTGCTACTTCATAACTGTAGTTTTGCTATTGCTATAAATCATAATATAGATACTTAATATTCAGGATATCTGATATGCAGCCCCTGTGAAAGGTCATTCAAACCCCCAGGGGGTTGCGACTCATAGTCTGGGAATCACTGCTCTTTGTAGAATGACTGACCTAGAACTTAGTATGTAAACCAAGCTAGCTGGTCTGGAATTTACAGAGATGTGCCTGCCTCTGCCTCCCGATTACTGGTATTAAAGGTGTGTTTCACCACACCAGGCTTGCTTTCACTGTATGGTTGTGAGCTACCATGTGAGATTTGATGATTAAAATAATATAGAACAGTTGCATTTTCATAAAATGTAACATGATCACCAAAATGTAAGTAACTAAGAAGAAATAGAAAAGTAATTCAAAATGCTTGTGTACCAAAAAATATCCAATCAACAAAATGTAATTCATAGAATAAGAGGTTGTTTTGTTTTAGAGTCTCAATATGTCACTCTGACTGGCCTAGAGCTCACTATGTAGACTAGGCTGACCTCAAACTCAACCAAGATCCTCCTGTCTTGCTTCCCTAGTGCCAGGATCAAAGGCTTGTTCCACTAATATGGGACAGGAGAGAATATTTTCAAACCATGTGTGTGTGTAATAAAGAGTTAATATCCAGAAAAATGTGAAGAACTTACAGCTCAACAACAAAAAACAAAATACTTTGATTTATATGTACACATGGAACCTAAGTCCATATTAGCCTACCAATACATGAAAAGGTACTTTGTATCAGTCATCACAGGCAAGTACCACCCAGAGTCATATGAGGTCACATATCACACTTGTGAGAATCACCCCTAATTACTTGAAATATGAAACATGTGTTGATGAGGCTATGAAGAAATTAGAATCTTTGTGCTGGTGGAAATGTAAATGGCATAACCACTGTGAAAAACAACATAGCAATTTTTCAGAACTCCAAACACATATTTATGTTTGAGCAATTCTGCTTCTAAGTATACATTTCAAAGAAATGAAAACAGTATCTTAACGAATCATCTGTGTACCTATGCTCATAGAGGTCGTATTCACAGTAGCCCAACAGTAGACCCCATATATCTGTCACCCATGAGTGGATGAACACAGTAGGGTGTGCTTAGAGTACTTGGACTTTATAAAGCAACAACATTCTGATTCATTGATACATGCTGTATTATGTGTTCTTTGAACTAGTGGATATTAAAGCTGTTAACATGTTGTGGCCAAATGCCATGCTAGATAATACAGTACTTAGGTAGCATGCACAAGGGTTCTTTGTTCAATTCCTGAACCACTGATCTATATCGCTAGGCCTCTCCATTGCTGTTGTTTTCTTTTTAACTTTTTATTTTGAGAAAGTATCGCCTTGAGTTGCCTGAGCTCTCTCCAAACTTGCTCTTTAGCCCAGGCAGTCTTTGAACTTGTGACCCTCTTGCCTCAGCCCCCCAAATGGCATTGATGAGAAATCTGAACCACAAAACTTGGCTTCTGGGTTGTTTTAAATTGTTCATAGTTTCATGAATTTAGTTCAAAGGCTGAATAGACTCTTAATGAATAGTCAGAAATTAGGCATAACAGAAAAACTAAGCATAGCAGAACAGTTGGTTTTGTTTGTTTTATTTTGTTTTTGTTTTTTCGAGACAGGGTTTCTCCATATTGCTTTGGAGGTTGTCCTGGAACTTGCTCTGTAGACTGGGCTGGTCTTGAACTCATAGAGATCTGCCTGCCTCTGCTTCCCAAGTGCTGGGATTAAAGGCATGTGCCACCGACTCCCAGCTGAACAGTTGGTTTTTATAATCTGTAATGTGAGACAGGAGTTATTATACCCTTGGAAGCAGATTGGTAAGCATGTTACTTCCCTAGAAGGAATAAAGAAGAGACTTACTTTGTTCCTCCACTCAAGCTGAACTGACTCTTTTCAACTGGTTGGTGAAAATCTATTGTTTTGAAAGCTAGTCTCTTTGGGATTCTGCATCCTTACAGTTGTTTGCATGTCATTAGCACAAGTGATTCCATTTTGAGCTGTTCTGCTGAATCCTGGTACAGGAGCTTAGTTCAAAATATTGGCCTCCCACATTTCAATGAAAGTAGAGTGGTGGATAAATAAGGTTGACAGTAGATGATGTAGGACTTGTAAGCAATTTAAAAGCATATGTGCTTTGATGTAGTAGGTAACTGATTTGATTTACCTTTGTGAATTTTATCCTAGTTTTTATGTGGAGATGGTGGCTTGTCTGTGGGAAGTGGGAGATTCAGAGCCAAAGTGTTAGTGGAGACATCAGTTAGTTAGTTAGAAGGCTTTGCCATACTTGAAAAGGTAGCCTCTAGGATTAGAGTGACATCATAGAGAAGGAATAAGTGGACACAGAGGCAACTGCATGTTAGGAAACACTTCCTGTGGGCTTGGTGTTAGAGAGTAGGATAAGGCAGTGGGGAAAAAAAGAATTTCTAGTTTCCTACAGTGAACACTGGGTAGATATGTAGACGGAATTTTCTGTCCCACCTGGTCCCACAACAATTTAGTCCCAAATAAATGCACAGAGGCTTATATTAATTATAAACGGTTTGACCCATGGCTCAGGCTTCTTATTGGCTAGCTCTCTCTTAACTATTATCCCATTTTTATTAATCTGTGTATCTCCACATGATCTTGACTTACTGGTGGTGCCTGTGTCTCTTGCTCCCTTGGCAGCTACATGGTGTCTCACTGGCAACTCACTCTCTGCGTTTCTCTTCTCAGCCTTCTCCTAGTCTGGTAGCCCCACTTATACTTCGTGCCTGGCTACATCCTGCCTGTCTGTGGGCTGAAACAGCTTTATTCATCAACCAGTAAGAAAACATATATTCACGGCATACAGAAGGATATCCCCTATCATGAGTAGGAATGACATTTACTATGATGGAGATTAAGAAGCATATTTGGGGAAGATGATAGGATTATCTGCTTTGGGCATGTGAATAAAGAGGTTCTGTTATATAGCCACATAAAGATGGTGATGAGAGTCATGTGAAGAGGCACTGTTTGCATCATAGATGAATGCTTTTATGAAAATACACAAGTGATAACACAGAGTCCAGATCTCTAATTACTGTTGTGGAAGAGGTATGTTAACTCTTTCTGCTCCAGACATAAACCTCTACCCACATGTATTTCAGCTCTGCACAGATGCTGGAAAATAAGCACACGCTCTCTATTGTGTACATGTTTGTCTGCACTCTTCTCCAGCTGCCTCTCGGCCCACTGGCATTCATTTTCTTGCTCATCCACTGCAACTATCAGAATTTATCTGTTGTTCTCCACCCAACTGACATGGTCACTTCTCTTGGAGAAAGAAGGGTAGGTAGTTGGCTGATTGTTCGTATTATTGTTGTTCCTGACATGTGCTCTGGTTTGTAGAAGGATTGGTGAGAATGATCATTTCTGTTAAAATGGAATAAGAACTACCTGTACCCTTATTGCTAGAATCTGAAGTATAAAAGAAAGAAAATCCTTGGCCAGTGATAAGCATTTATTTTTTAGTTTTTATTATTTATTTATTTTTGTTTTTTTTTTCAAGACAGGGTCTCACTAACTGTGGATGTCCTGGAACTTAACTATGTAGACCTAGCTGACTGTGAACTCAGAGATCTGCCTTCCTGTGCCTTCCAAGTATTGGGATTAAAGGCATGTGCTACTATGTCTGGCTTAAGCATTTATTTTTTTACCAGCCATTCTTTCTTTGGTAGTTATAGTGTGTGTACCCAGGAAGAATAAAGTTCCAGTTGTGGAGGAACTCCAGCACTGGAGACTTGGTAGAAGAAAGGATAATAGGACTTTCCAGAGAGCTAAGGGGCAAGGGGCAGAAAGTGATAATCAAGTAAGTCATCTGCAGACTTGGTCCAAAACGCTTGGTAGGAAACTTGCAGGCTGTTCTGAAATCCCATTGTGGCTTATTTATATTGGTTCTGCATTGAACCAATGAGACTGGTACTTTCTCAGTTCTTATTGTCATATACATATTATTACTATTAGATATACACTAATTGTACAATAATTAGAACTCAAGAAACATACAAAGTGTGGTATCCTGGGCTAGAAAGACAAACCATTTTATATAATTCTGTAGTTCCTATAAGCCTTTATATGTCTAGAAATGAGTTTTGCTTATAGATGTGGCATAAGATGTGTTTGTCAGTGTATATAGTAATGTTGAAATACATTTAAAAGAAAGTTTCTTTCATATCTTTGTCACATAAATTTTTCAGTTTTTTTCTTTTGTTCTTTTTTTAAATTTGCTTTTTCATTTTTATGGTGCCGGGGATTGGACAAATGCTAGGCATTTCTCTGATCTACATGACTGGCTCTCTTTCGGTGTTTTGCTTTGTTAAACTGTTGTAGGAATCTAGCAGAGTCACGGTGTCTAGGGTAAATCATTAGAGTGAATGATTGTTTGCTAGAAGTACTTTGACCTTGAATCATTGTGGAAAATGATGATTGTTTTCCTTGATTTGTAGACTTGTTTTTCTGAGGGGGCATTACAGCCTTTGCATGACTTTGGTCATAAGATGCTTCGGATACACCTGAAGCTCTTGGATTATTGTGTACTGCAAACAGTAACAACAAGGACTAAAGTAGCAAGGGTCTTTGATGGTTTCTTTTAGAGAGAGATAATTAGAATAGTGACCTTGGTATGAAGAAATGCTTTACCCAGAAAAACAACTTCGTGTAAAAATCAGTACATAAACCTTTGTACAGCATTTCAAGGTTTAGTTCATCAGAGGCTAGACCTTAAAATTTCATCTTGGAGTGACCTTTTTCTTCGACTGACTCATGCAATACAGAACACCCCAACATTAGACAAATTTTTCTAAGTCAAAGCTTGTGAATTACTCCATGTTTAAAAAACAACTTCATTGATGCTACATTTCATGTACAGTAAAATCTATAGTCTTCGGATTAGGATTCCATGTGCTGCTGTTATGTTTAAATAGTATTTTTGTTTGTTTTTTACGAGACAGGGTTTCTCTGTATTGTTTTGGAGGCTATTGGTCCAGCCCAGCCTCGAACTCACAGAGATCCGCCTGCCTCTGCCTCCTGAGTGCTGGGATTAAAGGCGTGCACCACCACTGCCCGGCTTAAATAGTATTCTTCACATCTTTTTTTTGTTGTTGTTGTTGTTGTTTTTTTTTGGTTTTTCGAGACAGGGTTTCTATGTGGCTTTGGAGGCTGTCCTGGAACTCCCTCTGTAGACCAGGCTGGCCTCGAACTCACAGAGATCCGCCTGCCTCTGCCTCCCGAGTGCTGGGATTAAAGGCGTGCGCCACCAACGCCCGGCTTAAATAGTATTCTTAATATACCCTGTTGTCTAACCTGACCACAGTGTACATTGTTCCTATACATGCCTTGTGTGTGTTTGAATAGTAACTACTATCTAATGTGTCTTTTTGTCTTCATATCAATACCAGAAGTCATCCCTCAGTCACTTTTCTTCTTTCAGAAGCTTTCCCGAGCTGATAGTACCAGTTTCCGTTTGACTGATAATCTAATTAGCCTGTAACATTGCTATCATGGTACTGTTTTCATAGCCATGAAAGAAGAAGTCTGTCTTGACTTCAAGACTATTTTATTGTTAATTATAATATTTTCTCAATTTTTTCTGTAGGGTCCAATGATGCTATTGCCCCAGAATTTCCACCTCAAGTGCTAGGCACAAGAGATGATGACCTCTCAGCCACTGTGAACATTAAGCATACAGAAGGGATCTATAGTAAGAGAGCCGTGACAAAGGTGGGAAAACCTCCTCGGAAAGATAATGCAGGTAATGAGTGAACTTTCCTGTTTTACAACTTCTTTCCTGAACCTTTTTATTTGACGTGAGAATATTGTTGTCTTTATCCATTTTCTGGTTTGTTTCAGAAACTTTGTCCTTACCACTATATTAAATATGCACAGGAAAGTAATGTTAGAATATTTAAAGTTCTTTCAGAGAGACTGGAAAACTTTAAACTTCATTTTCACCATAAACAAAAAGTATTGTAGCTGTGAAATGAAACACTAAATCAAGCCTATTTTGCATATTAGATACCAGAAAATCTTGCTTAAAATTCTCATGAATTTATCTCTGTTTAATGTAGCAGAGTGGCATTTCTGGTAGGATTTGACAAGGAGTTAAGAATTTACATGAGGTTTTGAAATTTTATTTTGCTATCAACCTGTGAAAATTCAGTTTTTGGGCTCTTTGGGGGAGAAAGAGAATCAGAATGTCTGGCTTCCCCTATCTCACATTTCTCTGTGACAGTAGTCCCCTTCAGCTGAGCCCTTGCTCTTTCCTGCAGACCGGAAACATCCATTCTCATGTTTGCAACAGTCCCCAACCCTCTCAGACCCCACCTGCTTCATTCAGATACTTGGTCTCTCTGGCCAAACTGTTGAGTTTTCAACTTTTTCTCTAGATAGAGGACAGCCATTTTCTAAAAGTATAATATATTTAAAATTGCAGGAAGATCACTAGTTCCAGCAAGATGCTGTTTCAAAAAATCCTAAACCAAAGCATAGAAACATAGATTAATAGGTAAGTAGATGGACAGATAGATCTTCTTTTAGAAAATGAAAGAGTATGCCTTCTTAATTTTAGAAAAGGAAAAAGTTCTTTAAATTGTATTCCTCTCCCAAAAATCAAACAAAATGTAAAACCAGCAACCATATAGGTAAATAAGGAATGTTTACGTAAAAAAAATTCTATAAAATGTGAACAGTAAGTAAAGGCAAATCACAGAGTAGAAAAAATTACAATGTGTACATTTCACAAAAAATATTCTGAATGTAAAAAGAAATAGTGTGGGAAAGATATTCAGCTTAGTAGAAATTGAGCAAAAGAATTGTGGATGATTCTATAAAAGAGACTATGTAATACCTAATAATTGCATATTAAATTTTCACTTTGTTGGTAATTTGGCGATACAAATCAAGACAGCAGTGGCTTTCTATACTTATTAGCATGGCTGAAATGAAAAATGCTGTGCTATGGAGAAAAGAACTCATTCACTGCTGGTAAAAGTGTAAATTAGTATCCTGACTTTGGATGTGTTGCTAGGTTTTGAATTCAGGGCCTCACATAGGCTAAGCATGCACTCTACCACTGAGCCTTAGCCTCACACATATTCTTCAAACAGTATTTGTAATAGTTGCATAGAAACCACTCAAATGGCCAATATTTGTTTAATAAAATAGGTAATTTGTAGTACTAACACTATTGAATAATTACTGGCACGGAGAAAAGGATAGGTATTTGTAACAAACATAAAATGACACAGTGTGAGTGAAGGAAGGAAAACACATACCTTGTATTAATCATTTATACGAAGTTGAGACATTCCTGATTAACTTGTTGTATTTAAAATCAGGTATTATATACTCTGGTTTATCTTCAGTTTGTATAAATCTTAGATCAAGTGTTGGAAAAAATGGGAAGGAAGAATGAAGGAACTAGGTAATAGGCTTCTATTTGGATTTTATTTCTTGACCTGGATAAGGTTATACACTTATTGTTTGATAATTAGTGATATTCCTCCTCTTTTTCTATTTTATTTTACTTTATTTTGTTTGCTTGTTTTTCAAGACAGGGTTTCTCTGTATGGCTTTGGAGCCTGTCCTGGAACTCGCTCTGTAGACCAGGCTCACCTTGAACTCACAGAGATCCACCTGCCTCTACCTCTGGAGTGCTGGGTACCACCAACACCCAGCTGATATTTCTTCATTTTATGTAAATATTTTCTAGGACAGTTAAAATATTTTTTAGAAGATGTACAAAAGATAAGGTTATTAGAAATGAGCCTAAAGTACATGCAAGACTATCTTAGAAAAAATTCCAAAACTACATTAAAACTTATTAAGGAAGTCCTACATAATTAGAGAATTGCATAATAGTAATAATAAAGTCTTCAACTGTCATTAAATTAATCTTTGGGCTAATAAGAGAGCTTGCTGTACTAGCCTCAAAATTTTATGTGTAGCTTGCTAAGTATGATTTGTAAAAGATTAAACAGAGAAGTATAGGAGGCAGCCATATTGGTATGACTTTAGGAGTGTGGTGTCTGACATTTCTAGGATACAGAATCTCACAACAAACTTCCTGTTCCTCTGGCTCTTAAAATCCTTCTACCTACTCTTCTACAGTGATCCCTGAGTCTTAGGTGCAGGAACTGAGCTATAGATGGGTCAGTTGGGACTGAGCTACACAATTCTGTATTTTGGTCAGTTGTGGTTTTCTGCAATGGTCTTTGTTATTATGAGGGGTTAAAACTATGCTAATTTATGTGTTTAATAAAGAATGACAGTAGGCATATTAGCATGGAAGGAAAGCTTATGAGGCCTCAAACCTAGACAAAGAACGACAGGTAGCTAAGGAATGCTGAGAGCTGCAGAAATAGTCTTCACCAGGGAAGAGCACACCAATTAGTTATTCAGTATCAAATAGTCAGCCCTGAAAACATAGACATACACATAATGTAAAGACTGATCAAGTTGGATTTATATATTTACATACATGCAGGCGTGCGTGTGGACACACAAACACATACACACACACCACCACCACCAACAGCAACAACAATAATTAAAAAGAGGCCATGGAGCAAGGGGTACAAGAGAGGGTTTGGAGAGAGGAAAGGGGAAATGTTATATTATAATCTCAAAAAATAAGTTATTTTCTAAAATGAAAAAGTGTAGCATAATGTGATCCAGAAACAAACTTATGGATGTGGAAAGTTAAAGAGAGATGGTGTGCCAATGAAGTTTGAGGATGAACATCAGTAGTGCTTAGAGAATTGATAACATCTGTAAGAATACCAGATAAATCCTGGTCTGCACACTGAACAAAAATGCATGATAGCCTTATGTGATAAAAAAGAAAAAAATATAATTTAAATACCCTTATAACTCTGAAATAGTTTGGAAGTTCATCCTTTCTTTGAGATAGGGTGACTTAGTTAGGGTTTCTGTTGTTGTGAAGAGGCATCACGACCGTGGCAACTCTTATAAAGGAAAACATTTAATTGGGGCTGGCTTACAGTTATAGAGGTTTAGTCCACTACCTTCATGGTGGTGTGCAAGCAGACATGCTGCTGGTGAAGGAGCTGAGAGTTCTACATCTTGATCCACAAAGCAGCAGAAGCAACTATGTGCCGCACTGAATGTAGCTTGAGCATAGGAGACCTCAAAACCCATCCCCACAGTGACACACTTCCTCCTATGAGGCTGCAACAACTCCAACAAAGCCACACCTCCTAACAGAGCAACTCCCTATGGGAGCCATTTTCTTTAAACCACCACACAGGTTCATATATTTAAGCTGATTTTGAACTTGTTATGTAGCTGAGCATAACCTCTATTTTCTGATTTGCCTTCAAATCCACCACCTCCATGAAAGTATCACAGGCATGTGCCACCATTCCCAGTTTATGTGGTACTGGAGATCAAGTCCAAGAGTTCATGTGTGCATGCTGCTAGGCAAGCACTCTAGCAACTGAGCTGTATCTCCAGTTTCCAGTGTAGAAGTGACATGAAACAGATGGGGGGTGAAGTTATTAACATGCACATAAAATATTATAAGCCATTAAAAGACATAGTTTAAAAAAGATGTTTGTAACTTGTAAAATGCTCACTCTACTGCTTTTCAACATAAAAACAAACAGAAATAGCTATAGATTGATCAGTAGATGAGTTAAGTAAACAAAAGAATACATACAGCATTGTATCTTATAAGATTTAGACATTTAAGATGATTGTAACTAATGAGTGTAGATTGTTAAACTTAACATTTTTTATTAATGCATCATGCTAAAGAGATTGAGAGGAACTCAAGTCCAGTATAAAGTGTACTACTAAGAATGGGATAGATAGCTTCAAGGAACTGTGTCTATAATGTTTCATTTCTTTTTTTTTCTTTTCTTTTTTTGGTTTCTCTGTATTGTTTTGGAGGCTATCGGTCCAGCCCAGCCTCGAACTCACAGAGATCCGCCTGCCTCTGCCTCCCGAGTGCTGGGATTAAAGGCGTGCGCCACCACCGCCCGGCAATGTTTCATTTCTTAAACTAAGTTGTTAATACCTTGTTAGGCTCCTATTGTGTCTAATATATTAAATGGCAAATTAATTAAAATATTAGATGGAAAAATTTAGGATTGAAGTAATAAAATAATTGATTTGAAAGAAAAGAGATTGTTGGATAAATAAAACCAAGGCTGGTTATTCGTTGTGTGTTTCATTGTTAACATTGTTTTGATTTCTCTCTTGAGAAATACAGATAAAGGTAAGAGCAGACATATGACCAAGGAGGGAAAAAGAGAACATAAAGTATCAGACAATCTTGAAAGTTATAACTACATGAGATTTAGAGAGTACGTTATGTAGAATCTAGATTGTATAAGTTTTTCTTGACTATATGATATATTAATTAGCTCCACGGTTCATAAAAACTTTGGAAAGACCTAAGAACTTCAAGCACTTGTTTAAGCCCACATTTTTACTTTGAAAAACATGATTTATTTGAAAGAAAAGAGATTGTGGTTTCATCAGACTATTAACAGATTTTAAAGTGTTACTTTATTTAAACTGACTGATGTTGTACATTGAAAGATATGGCAAACTTTCTAATTGATATTACAGTTTTCCAAACCAGAGCCTAAGTTCTTTTTTCCCCTCCTTTATAAAGATGTAAGGGGTGGCCAAGGGGTGTTAGGGAGGGACAAGAAAGTTGTTTGCCTTTTGTTTATTATCTTCTTCTCTCTGGGCTCAATGATGTCCGTATACAGAGGCCCCAGTTAAAGTACCCGTCACTGGGGATCATAATATCTCGGACAAAGAACAGAAAGATATCACTAGTAGAAGTGTTATGACCAAGATGGCAAAGCCTGAAGAAAGAAGTTCCTTGCAGGATACTGCAGGTAGCTGAACTGGATTGTTTGGCTCTCCTTTCCTCTGTTCTCCTAAAAGACTATTTCTTGAAAATCACAAGCAGCCTACTGTTTTGGTTGACTTTGGTATGAATAAAGTTGACGTTTTAAAAACTCTTTAAGATATTTATGCAGAACTTTTGAATATGTAATATTACAAAATAATCTTATTGTCAGAAATTGACTTACCAGGGGCTTTTTCCTTTTTTTAGTAATTTATTTCATTGTAACAAGATAACTCTCCACATGAAATAGATATAAGGCTTGAAAAGTGTTTTTTGTTTGTTTGGTTGGTTGGTTACCATAATCCTGATAATTATGTTTTATAGGATTGTCTAGAACTTTTTTCTTTGTTTATATTCTTGTTTTTGTCTTTACTGTTTATAGAATTAATCCTCTATCTGATAGAATAATTACATTTACCCCTTGTTTTTGGTGTTTTGCCTTACATGGTTTATATCAGTCATTGCCATATGATCTATTTGAATGCAAACTTTCTTTCTTACTTTGCATACCATTTCTGAGTCATTATTATGAAGCTGTTACCATGTTTAGATTTTGCCTGTAAAATCCTGTTTTATAGCTGCTTTTAATTTATTTTTGCACTTTAGAATATTTTAAAAATGAAGAGCAGAGACACCAATTGTTGAATTTATTAAACCATGCTATCTATACATTTTAACTGAGTTAAAATAGTTGCTAACATAGATTATATCATAGTTTTTATAAAAATAGTCTCATACCATTTGTACAAGAACTGTTTGCTATTTAGATATTCAACTTGTTTACTTTGGAAATTACTTCAATAGGATTATGAAAAAATTGCCTGTAGTAGTATGTTTAATTTAGGATTAACTTTGGTTCTAAGAGATAAAAACCAAAAACACTTCTTAAAAAATCCAGAGTTCAGGGAGCAATACTTTCTCTCCCTCTGTTGACATTTCTGGTCTTCATTCTCAAGCTGTACTATCAGCTGACACTCCACCTAGCAGGAAGTAAGGGAAAGAGAAAAGCTTCCATCCTAAAAGCCAGCCTGGGTCATGTAGTCACATCAAGTTGCATTGCCAAGGAGGCTGAGCCTTTATCCTGTTAACATGCTCAGTTATTTTAGAGGAAATGAAAATGTGTTTTAGAGGACAGCTGGTATTTATGCCACAATTATCAACTAGAGACATATTTTAGAGCATAAAGCACTTCTCTCTTTTTTTAAACATTTTTTTAAAGATTTATTTATTTATTGTGTATACAGTCTTCTGTCTGCATATATCCCTGCGTGCCAGAAGAGGGCACCAGATCTCATTACAGATGGTTGTGAGCCACCATGTGGTGGCTGGGAAATGAACTCAGGACCTCTGGAAGAGCAGCCAGTGCTCTTAACTGCTGAGCCATTTCTCCAGCCCCAGCACTTCTGTTTTTTTTTTTGTTTTGTTTTGTTTTTTGTTTTTGTTTTTTTTTTGTTTTTGTTTGTTTTTTACAAGACAGGGTTTCTCTGTATTGTTTTGGAGGCTGTCAGTCCAGCCTGGCCTCGAACTCACAGAGATCCGCCTGCCTCTGTCTCCTGAGTACTTCTGTTTTTTACATACTGTTTTTCTTAAGTCTTTATATTTGTATTCTGAGAAACACTCCAAAAATTATACCACATTTTTACTGTTGCTAAATGAATGTTCCTGAAATAGTTGATTATGTTAGTCTCCTGATACACTTTAGTCTTCATTGTTCTTGGGAATGAAATCTAAGCTCTTTTAGCAGTCTTCTAGAATGTTAGGACCAGCTCTAAAATAACTTAGCCTGCTCTAGTTTTCCCCTCTTTTCATTATAAACACTTAATCTGTAGATGTTTGGTGGCTTTCCCAATTCCACTCTTTGTTATGCAGCTCCTTTGCTTTCAGTGACTTTATTTCCACTCCAAAATGTTTTCCATCTTCAGAGTCCCAAGTCAGTTGTCTAGAGTTCTTCTATGGTACTGCTTGCTAGAATTACTTTTTTCTTACTTTGATTACTTAATAGCTCTTCATCTTTCTTATGGTGATTTTTTTAACTTTTAAAATAGTGTGTGTTTTTAATTAATTTTGTTTTATGTGTATGGGTGTTTTGCCTGTATGTATGTGTGTGTACCACTTGAATTCCTGGTGCCCCTGGAGATCAGAAGAGTGTGCCAGATCCTATTAACAGGAGTTACATACCGATGATTGCAAGCCACCATGTGGTTTGGAAATTGAACGCAGGTCTTTCACAAGAGCAACAAGTACTTTGAACCATTGAACCATCTCTCCAGTACCTTATGGTGATTCTGTAGCTCTATATGACTTGTTTGTATACTTGTGCTCTTTTTTTCCTCTCCAGTTTACATTTTTCTAAACTTTATTGTATAGATATTTGTTTTGCAATACCTCTAACAATGACTTTCACATAGATGGTTAGAGGCTTTTGGGGTCAACTTCTTGTATGTATAATGTGGTGTTCATTTTGTTCTCTTAGGTCCCAGTGATACCACTGTACAAGACAGAAAAACTGAAAACCTGCCAGACACTAAATGCATTAAACAGGAGGAGGAGATCCATGTTAAGAGAACCATCCCTCAGGAACTCTGTCCAGAAAAAGAAGGATCCTTAGAGATAGATATTTCGGGTAATGCAGTATATGTCAGTGTATGTGCCTGAGGGCTAGTGTATCTGTATTTCTGATCTATTCTGATGAAAATAAGATGCTTTCCTATTTTACTTGTATCATTCCACTATTGCTTTGTCTGTATGAATATATGTATGAATTTGTAAAACAAATGTTAATTCTAGGGAAATACCTATATAAGCAGTAATACAAGTAAATACATTCCGCCTTCCATATTCAATTTAACCAACTCTGTGCAGATAACATTTGAGAAAAAAGTTGTCTTTGTTGATCATGTATAAACTTTTTTTTTTTTAGCATTACTCTCCACAGACAGCACAGGATAATGACTATTACCTTGTTTCTGTCACGTAATCTAGTGACAGTTTAAAGTATAGAGGTACTGATACACATCCATATGTATAGCTCTATGTGAACATCTATACATCTTGGCATCTGTGAGAGGTTCAGGAACCAATTCCACCAGACACTGAGGAATAACTATCTCTAAGACTGATGGTATTATGTAGTACAGCATCATGTCTTAGTATTGAAATATGGAAACCTGAAGTTATTATAGAATACTGAGAAGGGCAATTTCAATATATAACAGTAAGAAGACAAATAAAGCCGGGTGTTGGTGGTGCATGCCTTTAATCCCAGCACTCGGGAGGCAGAGGCAGGTGGATCTCTGTGAGTTCAAGGCCAGGCTGTACCGACAGCCTCCAAAACAATACAGAGAAACCCTGTCTCGTAAAAACCAAAAAAAAAAAAAAGAAGACAAATAAATTTTGTCTTTGGCCCTGATATTATGACAAAAAAGAAGAGCATATGGAACATAAACCATTACTGCTCAGCTGTCAAATTTTACCAGTTAGAAGATAAGAGTTTCCATGTAAGAAAAGGAAGCAAAGAATTGAGTCTGCTAACTCTGTATGCTGTAAAGAGTTTCTGTTAACTCCTCACATTTGAAATATATAAAATAATTATCAAGGATACAAGTACTATGCAATGGGGAAAAGATAGTATAGAAAAACTGGATAACCACATTAGAAGAATGAAGTTAAATCATTACATAAAAATTTCATCAAAAAGGATTAGACACATAAACAGAAGACCCAAACCTCTAAAACTAATAGAAAACATTAGAGTAAAGCTTCAGAAAATTGTAATTTGGTAATCATTTCTTTGACATGACATGGACACATGAAACTCTGTTAAGCTCAAAAATTTGTACATCTGGAAGCAAGCAAGAACATAGACTATCAACAGAATTGGGAAAATATTCTCAAATCATCTGTCCATTGAAAGTTAAACCTAGAATGTATAAGGAGTATGTATACCCTGAAAACAAAAAACCAAACCTGACTTAAAAATGGACAAGGAGTTAAACATATGCTTCTCCAAAGAAAATATAGACTTGACCCAAGAGAATATGAAATGACACTAATTTAAGAGCTTATGCCCCAAAAAAAAAACAGCCGGGCGTTGGTGGCGCACGCCTTTAATCCCAGCACTCGGGAGGCAGAGGCAGGAGGATCTCTGTGAGTTCGAGGCCAGCCTGGGCTACAAAGTGAGTTCCAGGACAGGCTCCAAAGCCACAGCTGTCTCGAAAAACCAAAAAAAAAAAAAAAAAAAAAGAGCTCATGCCCATCAGAATAGCTAACCAGCTATCAGGGAGAATACCGAAAAGTTGGAATTAATGCACTGCCAGCAGGAATGTAAAATGGTGGTGTCGTTGTGAAAAACAATGTATTTCGCTCAAAAAAAATTTAAAGAATTACCATATGATATAGCAGTTCCACTTTGGGGCATATATTCAAAAGAATTCAAAGCAAGATCTTAAACTTCACAACATGCTTACCAGTGTTATTCTTTATAACCAAGGGGTAGAAGTGATTCAACTATGCATCAGATAATAGATAAGGAAAAAGTGAATTATTGGTCAATGAAGAGCTTTTATAGAATAGTTTTCTTAGTTAAGATTTTTGTTGCTGTGAAGAGTCACCATGACTACGGCAATTCTTATAAAGAAACGTTTAATTGGGGCTGGTTTACATTTCAGTCCATTATTGTCATACATGGAAGCATGCAGGTAGACATGGTGCTGGAGAGTTAGCTGTGAGTTCTACCATCTTGATCTGCAGGCGGCTAAAGGAGACTGTGTGCCACACTGGGTATAGCTTGAGCATATGAAACCTCAAAGCCTGTCTCTACAGTGATATACTTCCTCCAACAAGGCCACACCTACTCCAACAAAGCCACACCTCCTAATATTGCCACTTCTATGGGCCAAACATTCAAATACATGAATCTATGGGGGGCCATATCTATTTAAACCACCACTGTGATACAAGCACTCAGGAAGCAGAAGTAGGAGGATTACAAATTATAGGCCACTATGGTCAACATAGTGAATTCAAGGTCATTATGGAATATGTACCTAGACCTTGTCTCAGACAAAACAACAAAAAAGAAAATGTATTATATATTTAAAGATGTTTATTATGAAGACTTCATGAGGAAATTATGTCACATGCTGCAGCATGGGTAAACCTTATGAAGGCATACACTAAGCAAAATAATCCAGTCACTAAAGCACAAATATTTTTTTATTTTACTCATATGAAATATCTCAAGTAGACTAAAATCATAGAAATAGAATGTGGAAAGGTGATTGCCAAGTGCTAGGGTTAGGAGGAGGATAGACAGAATAATGTTGTTCAAACAGACATTGATCTTGTGATTTTCCCAAGTACCTGGAATTACAGGCTCCTGGCTTTTTTTTTTTTTTTTTTGTAATAACGTTCTTTGGAACACAGAAGCTTTCAGTTTTGATAAATGTGGGTATTCACTTATCATAATACTAGCTGTCAGGACAACTATTTCCTCATCAGATGGTCCTGAAACTTTTACCAAAAATCAACTGAATATAGATACATAATTTTATTTTAGGACTGTCAGTAGTATCTGTTGATCTGTACTGTGATCCTGTTGTATAGCACCAGTTTGTCTTGATTAATGTTGACTTATGCTAAGATTTGACCAAGGGATGTGTTGGGCTTCAACTTCATTTTATCTTTCAGAATCATGTCTCCTTTAGGTTTCTTAAAATTACATCTGAAATTTAGAATTATTTTGTCAGTTTCTACAAAAGAACAAACTGGGGTTCTGATAGGGATTGCACTGGATCTATAGAGTAATCTGAAGAGTGTTACTGTTTGACTTTTTTTTTTAAACTCTATGAATGAGGTGCTTTCCATTTATTTAGATATTTAATTTCATAGTAATACTTTGTAATATTCAGAGAATAGTTTTTGCGATTTTTTTAAGGTTTTCTAGTGTTTTATTTTTATGTTATAATGACTAGAATTATATTTTAAAATATTTTTATGTAGGAATTTAATAATTCTGTAGTCATTTATAAGCTACTATATTTTTATAGGTAACCCAATATTCTTTCTTTTAATGGTATATATGTTTGTATTTGTAGGTGTGTATACATGCATTACATAAAACTTACATGAAGTGCTTTTTTTCCATTTTGTGTGGTGAATATAGCCAGGCTGGTAATTAAAAACCACTTCTGTATTAGTTTCTTTTCTATTGCTGTGATAAAGCAACATGATCTAGGCAAGGCAACTTACAGAAAGAAGGCTTTATTTGGGCTTATGTTTCCAGAGGGATAGGAGTCTACCACCATCATGGTGGGGAAGTGTGGTAGCAGCCAGGTATGGTGACTGGAATAGCAAACTAAGAACTCACATCTTAGAACTGCAAGCTTGAAGCACAGAGAGTGACTGGGAATGATGTAAGGCTTTGAAACCTCCAAGCCTGCTTCCAGGGATAGACTTCATCTAGCAAGGCCACACCTTCTAAGCCTTCCCAAACAGTGCCACCACCTGAAGACCAAGTATTCAAATGTCTGAGCCTCCAGGGATCATTGTTATTCAAACCACAACACACACGCATAGCTATATTTGTATATCTTTTGTTACATGTTTATGTTTGTGCTAGAACTGGTTTTTATTTCATTTTCAGTTTACTTACTGTAGGCTATTCAAATTGTATACACATGTTTTTATCTTGAAACCGCCCTAAGCTTTTTTTTATTAATTTTTTATTAATTGTTGTTTATGGATTTCTTAGTAAAGGGTAGAAAAGAATTCAGTTAATGACATTTAAAAGTTAAGGTGACTGTACATACCACAGATAGTCTGATACATAGATATAAATCTGGGATGGAGAGAAATCATAGTGTGAAATGTAAATCTAGGAGTAGATATTGACATTGAAATGATACTAAAAACCATGGGAGAAGTGTGATCATCTTGAAAGGGAATTTTGGGTATGAACATGCTATCTAGATAGAATTGACTCATTGAGGAGATCATTGGTCACATCAGAGCTGTCCAGTGGTGTGGCTAAACACAGGAGTGATTTGATAGAGATTTGGTTTGGGAAATGAGTTAGAGAACAGCAAATGCATGTTTGCTACTTTAGCAACTTGACTGTGAAGAGGAACAGAGGAATGAGACAGCACAGGATTTTTTTTGAATGCTGCTGCCATGATTTTGAATGGTCCAGCAATCAGGGATGAAGTTCTAATGCACAATTCAGGGAAACACATTACTAGAAGATGTGATTGCATTCAACAATGCCTATTTGATGTGGAATGATGATTGCCCAAACGTGAGGTTTTAAAACAAGTTTTTTCACTCCACCAATTTAGTGCTGATGGTGAAATCTCTGGGTTTTTAACTGAAGATGTCTATCTAAGTGTTACTAGCAGGGTGATATTTTTAAAGAAAAAATACATGTAAAAAGTAGCCTACAAAGGACAGGTCACAAATATATAAAGGAACTAAGTATAGTGTGGAGAACTAAAGGGCTGTCTTGGAGGTCACATAGCTTTGTCACATGATGGAAGAATTCAGTACAGATTTGTTTTGTTGTTTTTTGAGGCAAGGTAGCCTTGACTGGCTTAGAACTCACTGTGTAGATCAGGCTGGTCTTGAACTCACTGACAGGTTCAGTGGCTTCTGCACTCTCTAGTGCTTGGACCACTTGTTTTTATTTTTGGAGGCAGGGTACCAAATAATTCAGACTGGCCTTGAACTGGTTGTTGTAGCAGAGGGTGACCTGGAATTCCTAATCCTCCTGTCTCTATTTTTTGAATGCTGGGACTATAAATGAAGTTTCTAGCATACTAGGAATTAAACCCAGGGCTTTACATTCTAGGCAAACACTTTTTCATCTGAGATCCAGCCCCAACTCTGTCACATGATAACAAAGTTAACCCAGAATCCATATATTTTGACTCACGTTAGTCTGGTTGCTAAGCACATGTTTTATGTCTAAAGAAAAACAACAACAACAGTATTTATAAAGGGAATACAAATTTCTAAATTTTTACAAAATCTTTTTTCTTTCTGTTCTTCCCAGAGTCTGAATGTCATTCAGCATTTGAAAATACCACTCATTCTGTCTTCAAATCAGCCAAATTTTACTTCCATCATCCAGTACACCTGCCACACGAGCAAGATTTCTGCCATGAGTCTTTGGGAAGGAGTGTATTCATGCAGCATTCTTGGAAGGATTTCTTTCACCATCATTCAGAGCATAGCTGCCTTCCTCCCCCTGGCCCAAGTGCAGACAAGACCAAGATGGATTACACCAGAATTAAAAGCCTCAGCATCAATTTGAATTTGGGAGAAAATGAGAAGATGCATACTCTCAAGAATCAGGCCAGAGACCCAAAAGGCAAAAGACAAACAAATGACCAAAAAAAGGATCAAAAGGTCACCCCAGAGTTAACAACACAGTGCACCATGAGTTTGAATGAACTCTGGAATAAGTACCAGGAGCGACAGAAACAGCAGAAATCACCTGGCATTTGTGATAAGAAAGAACTCTCTTTGGTGGAACGACTTGATCGTTTGGCTAAACTGCTTCAGAATCCCATCACACATTCACTCCAGGCCTCAGAAAGTACACAAGATGATAGTAGAGGGGGCCGAGGAGTGAGGGGGTGGACTGGGAGGAGGCAGCATCAACAGAGAGGCAAGTTGCAGAGGAAGCGATGTAAGAGCCTAGAGAAGGGTCAGAATGAAGGTGACTTTAGGAAAAGCAGGGTGCTTTCTCATCGTGGTGGGAAATCCAATCAGATTAAGATTGAGCAGGTTAAATTGGATAAGTACATCCTGAGAAAACGGCCAGATTTTGATTATGTCAGCAATACCTCCTCGGATTCTAGACCCTCAGAGGAAAGTGAGCTCCTCACAGATAGTCCCAACATTTTTTCCAGTACTACTTCTCCTGTGGACTCCGATGTATTGACCCAGACTGACAAGGATGTGACTTTAAATGAAAGGAGTAGCTCCATATCCACTATTGACACAGCCCGGTTGATCCAAGCTTTTGGCCAGGAAAGACTGTATTTGTCACCCAGGCGAATTAAATTATACAGCAGTGTCACTAATCAACAGAGGAGATATCTGGAGAAGCGGTGCAAGCACAGCAAGAACGCACCGAGCACAGGCTATCCCCAAATGACTTCTGAGCACACCAGAAGGAGGCACATCCAGGTACACGGCTACAAATTCCAACTGGGATGCAACTGCCTTTTTTGTGGACTTTTTAGTTAATCCCTTCACACAGGTGGAAAAAAAAGCCATTTGCCCTTTCCTCACTATAACATTTCTTCCCAGCTGGAAAAGAGTGAGAAAGTGTAGCACAGCGCTATTGTTTGTTGTCATTCTTTTCACCAACACACACTTGCCAGTCACCCTTTGGATGCAGAGCTTTGCACTAGGTGTTTTTCAGAATCTGAAGTAAAAGGAAGCCTCTGACCCAGGGAGCTTCAAGCTTAGCATGGCCTCTGTTTGGCCTGGGGTGGGTATGGGGGGGTTCTGTTTTTTATTGCTGTCCCTTGAGAAGTATTTGAATTGCTTTAAAACACAATACGCACATATAATCCAACAGTGTTTGTAAGTAAATGAAACATTAGGGTCGTATAAAAATTGAAAATGGGGTAAGCCACAACATGATTTAAAATAAACAAATGAACTAAAATAAATGATGAAAAGACAAATAAAAGCCACAGGGGGATAAATACACCTGGTAGATGGATGTGTTTTCCAGAAATAAGCTACAAGTTTGGTGTTACATGCTAGAAGATAAGTTGTAATCACTTATTATATTATAAAAGCAAGTCAGAATTTCAACATCATTATAGTTAGTTACAAATACCCAAGTGAAGTTTCCTCATCTGTCTTCATAAAGAAGTCATTACAGAATAACAGAGACCTCAAAATTCCTCATGGTAGATGCCACAGCAGTCAGGCTGTTAGGGTCACATTAGTTTAATAAAAGAGTTGGTAAAGGCAGATGTTCTCTCCCCAAGAGTAAAATTAGAACCCTGTACATGGTGATGCACATTTGTTATCTCAGCATTTAGGGTGCTAAAGCAGGGGATCCTGAGTTTTAGGCCAGCCTTAGCTAGTTACAGTAAACATGTCTTCAAAAAATGTTAGATCTAGACAAGAGCTCTTCAAGGAGAAATGCTCTGTCCATTGGAGTAGGGAAAACAATATATATTTATTTTACTCAAGCTTTCAAATTTTCTTTTTTGTATATTTTATAATAACATGGTTAGTGAAATAATATAAATAAATATCTATTTTGGCAATTTGTGCTCAAAAATACTTTGTGGTAGGATTTCATGGACTCCACTGGCCTATAGGGAAGGAGACAGGAGGTGTTTAGTTTATCATCATACCCAGTATTTCTCATGATTGAACTTTGGGTAGATATGAAATGACAGTGGTTACGTACGTTAATTGATTTAAAAAGAAGCCTGGAAATAACACTGAAAAGAGGATAAAGGGTAGAAAGTTTGTATGTGACCACATAGCACAGTTTACACTTTTGAGCAGGGCATGTGGTGCATACTGGTATTTGAAGTACTTAGAAAGCTGAGACAGGAAGAGTGCTCTGAGTTTAAGGTCACCCTGAGACACTTAGTTAGACCCTATCTCAAGAGTCCAAACGGTTTTCTTTTTTTCCTCCACTTAAATAATCCGTGACATTTGGGGCTTATAGTAATCATCCATGCTCTGCCCTTCTCACCAGCCCTTGGCAGCCAATAATCTGCTTCTGTCTCTGGGGACTCCAGTTGTGTCCTTTTGTATAAATACCGCCATAGAATATGTGATTCTTGTCAGGCTCCCTCAGCCTCCCTGCTACCCGGGATTGAACAAGGCCACCATCCTTTTGAGGCAAGTGCTCTACCACGTAGCTGCAGTCCAGCCACTAGGCTCATCACAAACAGTATATCAGTTTTTCATGTTTGATACTGTTCTGTTTTATGTTTACATAAGGTACTGGGATAAATACTTGGATACTTTCAGCTCTTCAGCTGATGTGAATAGGGCTGATCCCAGATCCCTGTATGCAGTTCTTTGAGGTACACCTAAGAGTGGAAATGCCAACTCATATGGCAATTCTCTCTTACTAAGGAACTGCCCAACTTGTACGACTTCAGTGGCCGTCCTTTTATGCTTCTGCCAGCAGTATTGTGGGGGCTCCTGCAGGCTGCATCTTCTGTGACTACATGATTTTACACTTTCTTCAGTAGTGTACAAGGGTTCCCATTTCAACACGTCCTTTCCAGAATTTATTTTCCGTTTTTTTTTTATTTTATATACTAGCTGAGTTGTTGAATAGGAAGTGGTTTCTTGATGTCGTTTTGATACACATTTTAACTATTTGTAGATCTTCTTAGGCTTTTTTTTTAAAGTTCTTTGACCTTTAGAAACTTAGCTGCTTGGCTTTTTGTACTGGAGTTGTTAGATTTCTATATCTTCAGTATATTTGCCCCTTATTAAATGTATAATCTGAAAATATTTTTGGCTGTTCTGTAGGCAGCCTTTCACATACTAACTTTGTTGATTGTATATATGATTGCTATATGTTGACTGACATATAGCAATTTTAATGGTGCAGCATGCATTTTTTTATTACCTGTGTTTTGGGGAGTCATATCCAAGAAATTGTTGCCAAATTTGTCATAAGGTTTTTGTCTTTTTAGACTAGCTTTTATATATAGAAATTCTGTTTTGAGTTCATTTCTGTGTGTGGTATTCAGAAGGGGTCTGCCTTCATCCTTTCGTATGTTGTGTCTAGTTCTGGCAAAATCATTTGTTAGGCTATTTTTCCTAACTAATTTGTTCCTTGGCGTTCGTCATCAGAATCATGTGACTGCATACGTGCCTCTGTCCACATTTGGATACTATATTTTGTTTTCATTGGTCTGTTTTTCCTTATGCCAGTACCAGTTCGAATTCAGTATATCTTCATCATCAGTTTTGCTAGAAAGAACTGTCTTGTTTTCAAGATTGTTCTGACCACCCAGAATCCCTTAAGAGCCCATACTTATAAATATTTTATTCTTTTTGATGCTATTATAATGGTTTTAATTTCATTTTTGGATTATTTGTTGGTATATAGTAGATATATAGCTAATTTTTACATGTTGATCTTGTACCTTAGCAGATTTGCTCAGTTGATTTGTTAGGTCTTTTTTCTTTTCTGTTTTTCTTCTTTTTCTGGGACAGGGTTTCTCTGTGTAGCCCTGGCTGTCCTGGAACTCACTCTGTAGACCTGGCTGGCCCCGAACTCACAGAGATCTGCCTGCTCTGCCTCCTGAGTGCTGGGATTATTTGTTAACTCTTAATTTTCTTGTAGAGCGTGTAATATTTCCTTTCATCTGCGAATAGAGACAGTCTTCCTCCTTTTCAATTTGGATGGATTTAATTTTTCTAATTGATTTATCAAGAACTTCTAGCAGCGTGTTAAATGGTAAAGCAGGTACCCTGTTCTCAGGAGGAGGACTTTGAGTCTTTCACAGTTGAGAATGTGTTAGCTGTGGATTTCCTCTTGTGACGTGTTATATTGAGGAAGTTCCCTTCTCCTTGTCTGGGCTTTAAAAGGTTTTGGTTTTAGTCAAATTTGGCATCTGTTGAAATGATCATCACCACCATTCCATTTTCTGTTAATGTGGTTATACATTAATTGCTAATCACATGTTGAACCAAACTTGTATTTTTGGTGTAATTCCCATTTTGCTATGTTACGCAATCCTTTTCATTTGCCATAGGATTCAGTTTGCAAGACTTTTGAAGATGTTTGCATGTATATTCCTATGGCTTGTAGTTTTCTTGTGGTGTCTTTGCTATCTTTGTTGTCAGGATAATACCAGACTCATGGAATGAGTTTGTCATCCTGCGGTGTTTTGATAATGAGTGTTAGGATTAGTGCTGTGGTTAATGTTAATTTTTTATGTGTTTGATGGAATTTACCAGTGATTGCTATGACCCATAGGTCATGTGTTTATCTTTGATTTCTATTTCTTGAGTCAGTTTTTGTATTTTGTGTTTTCTAATAGGCATTACTTATTTTTAAAAGATTTATTTATTTTTATTTTATATGGCTTTGAACTCAAAATGCCTGTCTGTCCTGGGATTATAGATATATGCACCAAACCTGACTATGCATTTGTTGTTTGTTGTTGTTTTAATCCTACAAAACAAAGGCTAAAATTATAGACCCACTAGAAGAAAACCAAGGAGTATCTTTTGGTTGACTCTGGGCTAAGCATTAGTTTCAGATACAACATTAAAGTGCAAAAGTCAAAAATTTTTAACTGGAAATACAAGTGATGCTGACAGTAATATTTGCTTACGTCATTGACTTCAGGAGTGTTTCTTTAGTCAGGTTGTGTGTGCCCTCTACAAAGCCTGATTGCAATTCTTTAAATGGGTATATTTTAGCCTTTGTTTAGTTAATACCAGTTTCAGCTACTCTTTAAAGGTTGGATAGGTACAGTGTTTGAGTGTTGCTATCCAATTGTCCTAACACCATTTATTGCAAAGACAAATACTCCACTAAGTATTTGGACACCCTTGCCAGGTAGGTTTTTCTAATGAGAAACCATAAATTTTTTGTGTGGTATTGTTTTTATTTTATGTATATGAGTGTTTTGCCTGCATGTATGTATGTGCACCATATGGGTTGCTTCTCTGGTGCCCATGAAAGTCAGAAGAAGGCATCAGATCTCCTAGAACTAGTTGTTACACATGGTTTTGAGCCACTGTGCAGGCTGGGAATCAAACCCTGGTCCTCTGCCAGGAACAAAAAGTGCCCTTAACCACTGAGCAGTCTTTCCAGCTCCCCATCCTCACCCAAAATTTGTTTCTGTGTGATGTTAATAGGTGTGCAAAGAAAGCAGATTTCCAGGTCTCTTGTTAATTTTATTTTCTGCCTAAATTATTATCCGACCCTCCAGTTTTTTCATAGTGAATCCACTCAGAAGTGTGGTGAGTGAGAAGTGAGAGGGAGGTACTGTGCAGCTTCTATGCCATTTCTGTCTTCTCTTCCTCCTCCATATCATCTTCACCATCATCTTTTTTTGATATGCATAGTTTTGCTGTGAGACCCAAAGCTGATCTCAAGCTTGTAATCCTCCAACCTTAATTTTCCAAATTGTAGCATTACAGTATCACACTATCATTTCTGACAGAAAAAA